ATAAATAAATACGCAATTTGGCGATTTCGATACTTGTCAGTTGATTATCTGAATAAAACTAGTTATAATATTAATTATACATATTGCTCAACAATGTAACTTTACAACGTCAAGCTGAAACGGAGTGGCAGGATTGATTCGAACCATCATGAGAAGAATCAGAAGAAAAAATATATCCCATGCAAATTGAAATGGTTTTTTCGGTTATTGTGGTTATTTTTGTTCATTTAAACCTTGGAACCGTAACCCTTAATAACATTTCTAAAATAATGAAAAGAAAAATGTAAAAAGTAAAAAAAAAACATTTGAATAAGTATAAATGTTAATAATATTCAATAATATTGTGTAGTGTTGTGAATTATGATTTGGACTTTATGATTACATCGGCAAGTTTGGCTTATCTCTTTTGGAATTTAACTTTTGTGTTTGTATTCTTATTATCTTCAATGCCTACGCGCTATACTTCACAAGAATATGCGAACATGCACCTCATTTATGGGGAATGCAGATGCAACGCAAGTGCCGCTGCTAGACTTTATCGTGAAAGATATCCCAATATAGGACGCTCTCCGGATCACTGCGTGTGTGTGAATGCTCACCGTTCACTTACGGAGGGCGGTCATTTCCCGAATCAAATACGGGCTGGATGTAGACCTCGCTTTCCTTACGAGGAAGAGGTGTTGCAAGAGCTCGCAGATGATTCGAGTATTTCCGTTCATGGAATTAAAGAAAGAACGGAAATACCCAAAAGAACAGCACATCGTATTTTACAAAGAGCCGGAATGTATCCATTTCACATTAAACGACTTCAAAGTCTTCTCTCTCAGGATTATCCAGTAAGGATTTTATTTTATAGAACAATGCAACAGAGATATAATGAAAATCCCCAATTCATCCAAAAAATTATCTGGTCAGATGAAACTACATTTAAAAAAGAAGGTTACATAAGCTTATATAATTTTCACGAGTGGCATGAGGAGAACCTACGTTTGATGCGAGAAGACATCTCATTAGTATAGTATTGCTTTAAAGTAAACCTGTGAACCGGAATTTTAAGCGGCAAAATTATTGGACCTTTTGAGCTGCCTGAGAACTTGAATGGCACGAATTATCTACATTTTTTACGAGAAAATTTACCAACTTTGTTAGAGGACGTACACTGAATAAATCGTCGCCACATGTGGTATCAACGAGATGGCTGCCCAGCGCATTAAGTAGTGCCAATAAAAGATTTCCTTGACCAGGAATATCCGGGAAGGCAGATTGGATGTTCAGGCACTATCTCTTAGTTTCCCGTTCCCCAGATTTTAATACCCTGGAATTATTTTATAGCCGAGCTGCGTGAACGAATTTCTCGAGGCAGTCGACATCAACTGCCAATGATATGCCCACCTAATATCTAGATCTTTTTCTAGGAAGATTTATGTATGGATATATGATGTATATATGGGCGTGTATTGTGGCTGATGGTAAGCAATTTGATCATTTGTTGTAATAAAAATGTTATTTCCTTATCTGACTTTTATTCCAAACTAAACTATACTCCATTCATTATAGCATTAGACAGAAGTTAAATAAGGTTCTTTTTATGGTATACTTTGTGAAATAATATTTAAAATCATATTACTCTTAAGACTGACGGCTTATTTGCTACATATCCACTTAAGTACCAGCTGCTATACTTAACAGTTGTCGTTTAAGCTATCTGTTAAACAAAATTATGAGTATTTGACTAATTTAAAAGATTTAATAACTTTTACAATAAAAAGTGTTCATCTTAAAGAACCTAGAGAAGCAGGGTTGGATACTCTCGGCACGATTCTCATGTCACTATAACTCTACTAAATTTAAAACGTTGCCTAATCCTTTCAAACGTTTCGGTAGTACAGCTTTTTAATTTTGTCAGATTATGATTTATTTATAATAGTCAAAATACGTAATCAGCACGCGTAGCATGACGAACGCGAGAACATTTTGTCTACACTCAAATGTCACTTTTCTCGGGTGCGCCCATACGATATCTAATTCTCGACCCGAGAAACTGACAAATTATTGCATACAAAGCGTTTCTCGAGTTTGTCATGCTACGTGTGCTGGAATTCTCATTAATTGTGAATGTTATTGCCTTTGTTGTTGTTTTACCGTATTCCATGATTGAGTTGTTTTTGTATTATTGTTGTTTCCTTATAGTTTTGTTTTAGTTGTTATCTTTTTGAAGTTAAGTTTTGCTAAATATGGACGATTTCGGTGCAGGTCCGAATGGCCTATAACAATTACCTCTGACATTTCAGGAAGTTTTTCAAATATCTTAATCAATAATCTAATAATATCTGAATAAATGTTACAAAAGTAATAATAAAAATTTCATTTTGTTTACTTTTCTTTCCTGGGCATAGATATAACTAAATTCTATTCCAATTATACACTTACAATTAGAATATATCAAAACAACAGATAGATAGTTATAGCTCCATATTGGCTTAGGAGTAAAAGATGAATTTACATAATTTTAGCCTCATCGCAAAAGAAAATGGAAAATTGCCCAACACTTTCACACTAACCTAACGTTAAAAGTTTCAACAAAACTATTATATATATTTTTAAAATTTATCTTGAAAATAAAATGTTCTGCACTGCTGCTTCTGTGACCCTCTTTTTTCTAATGTTATAATGAATGGAGTATAGGTCAAGATTTTTCATTATTTTATAAATTTTACTTACTTTTGTTTTTTTAGTAAAAGTGGCGTCACTATCTGTCTCGCTCGCTCATGTCAAACATATCCACTATCCGTCTATATCATCATTTTGCTGTAAAATTAAGAACCTAACAAGAGCTTATGTGAATCAAAAATTTTAACTGAGTTAAATGGGTGAGCAAATATCGGGTTACTTAGGATTTATTTTTTAACCCCGGACGCAAAAACGACGGAGTATTATAAGTTTGACGTGTCTCTGTGTGTCTGTTGTGCCATCATAGTTTCCGAACGGATGAAACGATTTTGATTTTTTAACTCTTTTTATTGAGTATGAAACTAAAAGTATTCTACAATTATGAAATCCTGATTAAATGCGCCAACTTTTAATGGGACTTGCTAAGGCTCTTATAACTACTAATAACTCTAGTACTTTTTTTAAAGGAGGGTCTTTGAAAGACGACAAATTTTGAAAATTTTAAATTGTTAGTTTAAAATATAGTACTAATTCTAGGAAATTTGGGGAATTATATTATTATTATTATTATTGACTATGACTTTAGAAATGATAAAATGGGAAATAGGTTAAATGAATAATGGTAGAATACGGTCCCAAAGTTTAAACGAACAAAAATAATAAAAATGAAACAATATAACCGAAAAATGAGTACAGTTTGAACAGATTTCTAAGTTTTTCTTAAATGCCCATAATTTTCAAACTGCATGTGATAGTTTTTTCTCATGATGGTAACAATCAATCCTGGCACTCTGTTCGGCTTGACGTTGAGTTCTGGGACACTCTGTATACATATATTTAAAGAATTAAAATGGCAATATTTCCTTTTACAAATTCAATTTCTGGGATTTGTTTCGGTTTTTAAGTAATTCATGAAGATAAATCATAGTTATTATTTTTCTGTGTACCCTTGAATATCTAAGACCAACGAGCTATGTGGACTTATTATAAATGTAAAGACTATGTAGCTTACACCTTGCGGCACTTGTCAACTTTCCTCACAGGTGTACTGAAATAAGTAAGTATTACGAATCGACTCAAGAGGTCATCGTTTCGGCAAGCAACGAGAGTTAAAATATATTTTATTATATCAGCGTTTATACAAACTAATACGCACATAGACAAATTGTTAAAGCGATATAAAAACTGTTAACATGACATCAACAATAATAAAAAGTGCTCAGGTATTCTAGAAGACCAAGGCTTAATAAATACAGCTGATGTTGATACATTCACATTAGTCGATAGGGCCCCGTATCTCATAGTATTTCCGAAGATATTTTTCAGTTTTCAACTTCAAAAGTCGGCCATAAATATGAGCTAACAGAAACCGTATGCGGTCCCTATCGACTAATGTAATGAGCCCTGCAGTTACTACGAGTAGGTATATCATTTATATTCTTTATTATATTTACATGTTTACATACATTATAATATTTAAATGGAAATACGAAAATTTTTTTTCATAGAACCTTTTTAGTGTATTTCAAATCTTTATTACTTATCGACCTCCGTAGCCGAGTGGTACGCACGCCGGTTTTAAGGTGTCTCCATCTCTAAGGTGCCGTGTTCGATTCTCGGTCGGGACAATGTAGAAGATGAACTTTTCTATAATGTCTCGGGTCTGGGAGTTGGTTGTCTCAGATAGTTAATAATACGGGGGCTTTAGCTACTCATCTTGGAATCTGAGCAATGTTTGTGATGTCGTTAAATATTTATTATTATTTATTTTATTATTGTTACCATACAAAATATAATTATACTACATAAAATGTTCAGTGTGTATAAAATGTGCTAGAGTTTATCAATAGTGGATGATGCTATGCTACATATGTCGTGTCAAACTTGTTTACATTAATCGCAAGCAACTCAGGAAAATCCAGTTCAGTTCATAATTTGAATCACAGCCTTATGTCGTTAGCAGCTAAGTTTATATTCGATCGCCAAATATGACAAATCGTTCTAAACAATAACGCATTATTTTTTTTTTCCTTCTGTAAAGCTGCAGGAAAATAAGACGAGAATCGCTTAAGTTGCTATGTTATTATTAGGAAAGTCAAATTCGAAAATCAAATATGCATTGCGCTATTATAATTTAAGCACACCATTAATGTTGTAATAATTTATTATTAATATACTTTATTATCTACGCAGCACAGCTTCAAAGTAATCTACTCGCCAGCAGGTCTTAAGTTTTTTCCAGTTAGTAAAGGTCAAAGGGTCGTTGCTCTGAGATTTATTCATATAATTAACAAAACATATAATTAAACACATAATTGAAGCAAACATACCTTTTATCATTTCCTTATTCTCCACTGTTTGGCTGACGGCTACAATTTTTGGCCCTATGTGGACCTTACTAGATTTGGAAACATGGACGCTAGCAATGTTAGGCATCTCCCTCGCTGCATGGGCTACCATAGCTTTTTCATCGAAGATTATCACTTCGGAACCCGTATTCGCCTTCGCCATTTTGTCTTCCACCATGTTGTAAACGAACTACAATACCGGCAGTAATAAACTCGAGACCTTGACGCAAACGGGTGACTAACACTCTACAGACGACAGCTCAACTCGAACCACAGAACCATTATGTTCGCTACTAACTAAAACTTGGCAAATCATAAGTTGTGCTTCTCTTTCGTTCGCCCTCAATACCACGCTAAGATAACAGCAGATATCGCGATATATTAGTGCTAATAAGACCATAACGTTCTATTAAAACTTAATATTTGTCACGTAACTGATAGTATCCGCACACTGTTTTGATGATATTAGTTCCCAAAATCATACTTTAGTTTAAAAATGCATCATTTCAAGCTTTTAAAGTATATTAGGTATATTAATACATTTCGTAAGATATTTAAGTTTAATGTGCATTATTATAAACTGTGAAGAAGGAAGGTTCCTGTTAAATATGAGGGTCTATAACATCAACATATTTTAAAGTTATGTCAGTTTAAATTAGCTAGCTAGTGAAATTAAATGCAGAACCTTCACTAATAATAATTCAATAACAAATTATTCGTTAGCAATAAAATAAATAAGCAAAGAGTTTATATTATTTCGTACTTTCATTCATGTTTGTTCTTTTTTATTGTTAAAATGTGTAGCTACTAGTACACGAAACACAATATGAATCTTTTTAAAAGAGATATTCTGTAAGAAGTGATAGAGTTTAAAGTTATTTACTAAAAAACCTTAAATTTATCTTGCAATACTAGAGGTACTTTTAGTTTTGGTCCGAACAGATAAAAGGAACATACTGTTTCTCAACTGGGGTTTTAGCCCAGGGACTATGGCTACGAGGGGACCAAGATATAACGAACTTCTTGATCATTCAAATCAATATTCGTTCAAAAAACGATAACACGTTCAAAAGTTAATAATTCCATAATTTGCTGTCACAATCGCTATAGATTTTTAATTTAGATGATTAGTCTACAGGTTCTGTGACAACTAGGATCTATCTGAAGTATGTTTTTTATAAGGAATCTTTTTTTCCTATTTTTTCCTGAACCTTGAGTTCAGAACTCCAATAACCTCTGACCAAAATCCGTTTTTTATTTACTATTTGTGTTTAATTTAGTATTTATTTACTTTTTACTTATTTTAATTATTATTTGTAATTATATAATTATATTTATTTATGATAACTAAAAAGACAAATTAAATATAAACATTTAATTTATATTGTTTTTTCTTTCTGCGGCTTGTACTATATCTTTATCAATAATTATATTTTTTTAGAATTGATTCATTAATTTAATTTTTCATTTTAATACAATTAACAATCGATAACGATCGAAGAGAAAATGTCGTCCGAAAGGACTGTGATTTGTGAGTGTGACTATTATTTTTTAGAAGGTCAATTTTAGGGGATCTATATCAATGAAACTTTGTTAATATGACTCCGGTATTTTTCCGTTGGTCGGTCTGGCATAAGGAATGATACTTGAATTTTTTACAGAGTTCGAGTTTTTATAACCGCTGTCATAAAGTCAATAAGTTTATCTGTCCTTCGGTTCTTATGTCTGGCATAGGGCATCTCTTTTAACCGTAACAATACTTCAACTTCTAACCAGCCATTTCACGTCGAATTATAGGATTCTGTACCTAACACGGCACCCAATTACTGAGACTGTCCATCTATCACCAGGTTGTATCTTATGAACCCTGATAGTTAGTCAGTTGGATTTACAGATTATGTATTTTTGTTGCCGTTATAACAACAAAGACTAAAAAACAGAATAAAATAAAGATACGTGATTTGCCCACTTTTCATATGAGCAGTTTTTCGCACATCCTTATACTCCCCAATTAGAAAATGCATTTATAATAAAACATTGTTTATGTATGGTCACGGTTATACTAATTGCTGGGTAATTGCGTCAAAATTACAGCATAGCCTGCATGCAACTACAAATGTATGCACCTACAACGCGATACCATAATGATACCATCTACTTACCAATAAAAATTCTTGACATGAAATATAATTTTGAGATTTAGTGTTTTTTATGTTCGGAAAATAATCAATGACGAATACGATATCAAAAATTGTCTCCAGGAAATACACGCGTACATATTCTATCAATTAATGTCACATACCAGACGTATAATGATATAATGCAGGTTTAATGCCTACTTTCATCTACACGAGTTAGACTTCGATCAATAGTTCAACTTAAAAATGCTGATGTCTAACCTTATTATTTCTCCTTTTCGTTAGTGTAAATATTAATGCCCGTGTATAAATAAGGAAGTTTTTCGAGCGACAAAATAAACCTGACACTGATATAAAATATGTATAATAGCACGAGGTCTAAGATCAAAATAGGAATTAGAGTTTTTTTTAGCTCCAGAGTTAGGTTTCGATGCTCCGAATTCAAACCTCGGAGTTTCGGAGTTTCAGATTATCAGTCTCATATAGACTTTCAAATAAATATAAGGTAGAGCATAGGCACTAAAATCGAATTGTCTGTTCTGTTACTTACATAATCTTTGACAGATCTTTATAATAATTTATAACCGTTTACTCTTTCGTTTTTGACACATTATTTATTTTTCTGTTTAATACGCAAACCAATTGAAAATATATACTTACGAATGAAATGTGATCCCTTGGTCATTAGATGACTTACTTATGTTATTTCTACTGTTTCGCATACCACAGGATGGCATTTTTAAAATGTTTATGCTACTATATAAACGCACACAATCAATGCTTTCACCAGAGTGTGCAGATATGCTAATTAGCATAATTTTTATGTATCAATTTTAAATCCAAGTAGCCTATCTACCCTGTTTTATTGTAATATCATTGACAATAATTATGATTCATAGTTGTTATGAGTATCGGCTAGCATAGTCTTGCTATCACATATCACACGGCAAGCACAGTATCACTACATTGTGCTACCTTAAGCATTTCGATTTATTTATTGTACATTAGCATAACGGCGAATCATAGCATAATATATGGAATTGAAAATTCGATTAACATAAAATGCGATAAAATAATCATCCACTGCCACTGTCATGTTTGTCACATATGCCATGTTTATTTGTGTTATATTATTTTTCTCTTTGGTTTATGAACTTTTGCATCATAGCATTTAAGAGTATTGTAAACTCAAGTCACATTAAAAGAAAGCCTATAGGAAATGGGCTTAGCGCGGGCGGTAGAGCGTGAAGTAAATGGAGATCGCGTTTACCCTAAGGTCGAGGAGTTCCAATATTTCAATAGGCTCCTCCGAGTCTTGCGGCTGATAGCCCAAAAGAACAGCTTACTCACAGACGTACTACTGACAGAGGCACGAGTCGGGAATCCTACAGAATTTTCAACTCTGTAGAGGATTCCTCACAATAGGACTCGTCCCAGGTTATGATAAGTGAGATTTCAAGGAGACTTACCAGAAGCGCGACACATAGTCAAATGAATGATCGAATGAGTGGTGGGTCATCCACGTCGGAGACTGTAGATTTGATTCTCGTGAGACTTCGACACTGGAGCTTTCGTTGTGCTTCTTGAGACGCCCAATAATAACAAGGAATATCTTCTTGGGAGAAGAAGGATATGACATTGCGGTATGACATGGACATAGGCACAAAGACAAAGATGCTTTTCACCACGAAGGACAAATTTGAGAAGGTAGATCTGACCGTTGTACGAATATATATATTTTAGTAAGTATATAATATTTTTAAAAGACTTTGACCAACGACAGAACATGAGATAAGGAAAATAAACATTCGTAATTTTTGCACTAACGACGAATTTACTTTCAGCAACCATTTAGTAAATGATAAAGTAGGTGTGTTGACCTAATCTAGGTTAATTATTTTGGAAAATAATATTGCGTATGATTATTTCGCAATATTCAACTTTTTATCTTTATGATTAGATAAAACTTTTAAAAATGTTATCATATCTAGGTTGTCTACACTAATTTTATGAGGAGGAAAGGTTAACTGTCTGTTTGTTTGCATCGAACAGGCTCCGAAACTAGTAGACCGATTTTGAAAATTAGTTTATCTACGGAAAGCTACATCATACATATACGGGTTTCATAGACTATAATTTACGCGGGCGAAGCCGCGGGACAGATAGTCATTTTATAAGCTAGATAGTTTAATTAAAGAAACACTCGAACTCCGCCTAGTGTAAGATTTTAGTTTTTTTATTGTAATTATAAATACATACTTATTTATCTACTTCTACTATCAACTTAGATAAAAACAGAAAAAAAAGGTCACCCATGTGAAGCACAGATTTTTTATATAGTAGGTGCTAAATAAAACGAACTGTATTTTTTAAAGGAAATACTGGACCCTGATATTATATACGCGATTTATAAAATATATTAATATTGAAATATTTTTCTAAATAAATTGATTTTAATTTGGTTCTCTAATTTTCATATATTTATCATATTTTCTAAGAACGAGATACCTACATCATTTAAAGTTAGATATTTGTATCTTACTTATTTTGATAAAAACATCGCCACAGAAAAGTAATAAACGCATTATAACGCGTTTCTTAATTGATTTATGACCCATATGGCACAGAAACTAACCATTTTTAGGTACACCATGACACAGTTTTTTTTATTAATTAAAAATCAATAAGTAAATTGAAAATGTAAGATACAAAACATAAAGTCTCCCTTCCCTTATGTTTTGTATCTTACAGCGTAAGGGCGCTTGTGCACTACACTGAATTTTCAGGTCTTATATATTTATGACACAAACAGTCATTTCAAATTTTATTACAATAAATACGAAAAAGACATCGAGTGTCACTAAAGTACTTCTGTTAATCTTTCTTTCATTCTTTATTATAACTTCTGTTATCAAATATTTATTTATACTTATCAATTGCCAAAAATCAAATTTTGATATTAACAAATTTCCATGCAAACTTTTATCCCCTATTTCCACCTCTTTTTCGCGGTTCAAGGTAGCCTATGACAAAGTTCAGT